CCCGGCTGTACCGGGCGTGGGGTGCTGTGCTGGGAGGGCTGGCAGGAGTGCAGGCAGGGGGTCAGTTACGTCAGATCACTGTGTGGCTCTAAAAGCATGGGTGGGCCACAGGTGAGGCAACATTTTCTCCATACCTGGTGTTGGAGGGGATGAGTGTGGGGTGCCCCCCATCTGCAGAGAGCCACAGCTCCAGACTGAGCCCCATGTCCTTGCTGGGGGATGCAGGGGTCTCCGATTCCTGCTCTGCAGCCGTGCAGGCCTGGCACTAACCAGCAGCCGCGGGCAGAACCCTGCAAAGTCAGCCCCTGGCACTACATGAGAGTGCTCTGGTGCAGAGGAGCTTACTGTGGCTCACTTGGGTGAGTGATGGGTGCTGGGGTGGGGTGCTACGAGCCACACGGTCCCCATCCTGCTAGGCTCACTGTGTTTGATGCTGTGCCTTCTGCACTCCCAGGCTCAAGCTCGCTGCCACCGGATCGGGCAGAGCAAGGCAGTGAAAGTCTATCGCCTCATCACCAGGAACTCCTACGAGCGGGAGATGTTTGACAAGGCCAGCCTGAAGCTAGGCCTGGATAAGGCTGTGCTGCAGGACATCAACCGCAAGGGCAGCACCAATGGGGTAGGTCGTCTGTCAGAGTGGGATGGGTGGGAGGTGCTGCAGGAGAGCTCTCCTTCCCCTGCAAGTCACTGCAGGTCACTACCAGGTCACACACTCACTTTGCTGCTGTTTGGCCTGGCAGGCTGTCCCTGCACTGCCCTGGGGTTGGAGGACATGTGGTGCTGTGTCTGGGTGACATGGGCTGAAATTCCTGAGGGTCCCTCAGGCAGCGTTTTGAAGAGATCTCTTTGCTGTAGCAGTGTGAGGTCTGGGTTGACTTGGGGCATCTTTGCCCTCACTCCTGAGGCAGAGGGAAGAGCCTTCTCTTGTTGTGCCGTACCCAGGGTGGCTGGCCAGGTTAGTGATGCCTCTGTGTGTTGGGCATTTTCAGCAGCTCTCAAAGATGGAGGTGGAGGATCTCCTGCGGAAGGGTGCCTACGGCGCGCTTATGGATGAGGAGGACGAAGGATCAAAGTTCTGTGAGGAAGACATTGATCAGATTCTCCAGCGCAGGACACAGACCATCACGATCCAGTCTGAGGGGAAGGGCTCCACCTTTGCCAAGGTGTGCTGTGCTCCATCGGGAGGGAAGAGGGAGTCCCCAGGGTGGTGAGGGGCATGCTGGGACTACACAGGGCAGTAGCGGGCTGACCTCTTACCTGTGTGTTGAGACGTGTGGGCATGGAGGCCAAGCTCCAGCTTGTCCTGCTGCATCCAGGAGTGAGATGTTGCTGGGGCATGGCAGCAGTGTGGTCTCCTGTGTCACTGGTGATCAGCAGAGCATTGAGGAGGGGACCACCAGCCTGGGCAGGTGATGTGAGGCTGCACGGGAGGGTTCGGCTTGCCAGCTTCCACTTTCCCTTCAAAGCTGGCTCCGGCGGCTAAGAAAGCAGAGCAGGGGCTGTCCTCTGTGCCAGGTGTGCTCTGTCACTGGGCTGGCGGCATGGATGGATGCAGAGCTGCTCTTGTGTCCCAGTCAGGGCACTACGGTGTGGAGGGCTTGCCCTTCTGATGGGCTGAAGACTCCTTGCTGTGGCAGCAGGCCATGCCAAGAGCTTCACCCTCTGCCCATGGCTGTTGTGGGCAGGGTCAGGCCTCTCTTTGGGGAGGATGGAGGAGTTCAAAGCCTGGGTGAAATCCAGTCCTGAGCTAGGCTAATCTTCTATTCATGGGCTGAGTTCATTTGATCCGGAGTCTGTCACCTCCCCTGCCCTTCTGGACACCAGTGCTGCCTTAGTGTGGTGCTTTGCCAAGAAGAAATGCAGGTAGAGACCTGGGCTGCTGGTGATGTGGGAAGGAGATGTAGCGCAGCCTCCTCGCAGCACAGCCTAGCTCTGTCTTCAGCCTCACCCTGCTGCCGTGGGACCTGGCTCTGCAGGGAGACTCCAGGGTAGTGACGTTCCCCAGCTGCTGGCCTGCACGAAGCTGGGTGCTGCTGTGCTGTGGGAACCTATGTGCCGTGGGGCTCTGACATCCCCAGGGAAGAGAGCTTGAGAAGCCAGCTCTGTGCCAGGCTCGTGGCTGGTGTCCACTGGGGGCACCAAGTGCCATCTGTCCCTCCTCCTCTTGCAGGTGGCACAGCCCAGGCTCCATTTCCAACCCGTCAGGCAGGACTGCAAAAGAGAGGGGTTCAGTTCCCTTAAGCAAAAAGAGAGCCCTCTGGCATGTGTCAACACACCATGGCAGTGAGGCTGTGCCCTGCAGGCAGATGAACTGGGGATCTCTGCATGGGGGAAGGCACATCTGGGTGGTGGGTAGCATCGTGCTCACTCCTCTTCTTTCACTCCCAGGCCAGCTTCGTAGCATCGGGAAACAGAACTGACATTTCCTTAGATGACCCCAACTTCTGGCAGAAGTGGGCCAAGATAGCAGAGCTCGATACGGATGCCAAAAATGAAAAGGTAGGATTCAGCTCGTGGCCTGTGTGCCCCACACTGATCTGACGCAGGGTGGCGTGGTCTCCAGGCAGGAGCTGTGTGTCTCCGCTGGGCTCTGGAGGGGTATGTGTGAGGCATCAGGAATTACTGCAAGGGAAGGCTAACCCATGAGTGCTGGCTAAAGTCCCAGTTACTTTAGGCACATGTCGGGCTGTGTCTGCCTGGTGTTTCAGGGTGCTCAGTCTGTGTTCCCACCTACTCCCAAGCCTGGTTAAGGGGAGACAGTTGGGGCTGGTAGCATGTGAGGGGAGGAGAGGATGAAACAGGCAATGCAATGGCATGTCTCTGAACCCAGCAGACTAGTGTTGACTGCCTGTGCATGAGCTGGGGCTGTGCCAGCGTTCCCCACAGCACAGGCAGGCATACCTGCCTCCTGCTGCTAGCCAGGTTTGGTGCTGACAGCCTGGGCATCTGGGCCTCTGCGTGGAGCAGTACCATGGTCCCATGCTGCCCTCCAGGTGCCAGCTCTGATCTCCTGGCTTCCTGGCTGTTTCACCAATCCCAGAAACCTTCGTTAGGTCGAGGCATGCCAGGGCCAAGCTGCCATGTGCCCTGGCAGGGCACAGAGGTGCCCAAGTGCCAGCTCTTGCTGTGGTTGGGGGTTGGTGAGGTGCATGAGGCTCTTCCCTCACTTGAGGGAAGCTGCACTGCCACTCCCCAGCCCAGACCCAAGCCCATGTGAACCCTGGCACCCTGGGTAGAGGGGAGCATTTGGCCTGGCAGCTCCAGAGGAGGCCTGGTGAGCTGGCATGAGTTTGTATACTTCAGTCCTTTGAGTCCTGGAGCTCACAGTGCTGGGCACATTTGTTTCACTGCAGTCCCCCAGCTCCCACTACCCAGCTCTTGATGGCTAAGGAGGTGGTGTTTGTTGTGGTGAAGCTCATCAGGCCACCCCGGCTCTCCCAGCAGTGGGCAGAGAGGAAGCCATGCTGTGTGCAACTGTGCCCGCTGGCCTGAAGTGCCTCTCCTCTCCCCAGGTGGCTCCCCAGGCCTGTTGCAGGGCCAGAGCAGCTGTGGGCTTGTTCAGGGAGTCTTCAACCCAGCAGCAAGTCCAGCCATTTAGTGACCTAGAAGCAAAGTGGACTTGAAATTAGTTGAGGCTGGTAGGGAGCAGGTAACATCAGAGCAGGTGGGTCCCTGGAATCGGTTGTGCATCACATGCTCCAGTTTAATGCTCAGATAATGGCCATAATAACCACACTTCTCTCCTGTGATTTATTCATAACATGTAACGTGGATTCCAGTAGCAGCATGGGAGGATTTTAAGGAGCTGCAGTGGCATGATGGTGCTGAGACACTGTCAACCAAGAGGCTTGTGTCAGGCACACTGGTGCCTTCAAGTCCCAGCCTTTTACTGGCTTCATGGATATGAAGGCACCCCTGGGACCCGGGGCCCTCGCTGAGCAAGCACTGGGCTGTGGTGCTGTAGTGGGAGCAGGGTACTGGCTGGAGGGCAGCACCTCTTTGCAGAAGAAATGTCTCCCGAACATGCCGTGCTGCTTCCCCACCATGCTTGCGCTCACAAGCCAAGGCAGGTTGCAGGGAGGTTGAATTGAGTTTGTCACTGCACTGCTGTGTGGGGGTGGTTGGTCTGGTTTGGGTCTCAGAGCTCTGTCCCAGGTTAGGGCAGGCTGGGGAATGGGCTGCCAGGCACTCAGTGCCTCAGGGGATGGCACAGCCCTGGATGGTGTCCGCAAATGCTCAACTTCTCATCTGCTCTGAGGAGGATGTAAGGTGCAAGCGAGGTCATGTGGGCCAGCTGGGTTTGGCCCTGACAGCACAAGAGGTGTCACGAGAGGAGCTATGGTTTGCACAGCTCCTCCCGTACTTCCCCTTGCTCTTACAGTGTCAAAAGCTCCCTCATGCTGCCTGTTGGATATCTTCCATACCCAGCTGAATACTAGCCACGTTCACCCAAGCCTGGGGGGTTGCTCGAAGACTCTGTGGGTCATGCTTAATGTCCAGGTGTTGCTCCAGAAACAAATCTCTCTAAAAGCTGAACGTGAATAAGGATGAAGGGAGCTGCCCTGGGCTTCTCCTGGCCTGATGGAGCACGTGGGGGCAGCTTTGGATGGTGCCATTCCTTCCTCCTTCAGGGACAGGAACAAGGAATAAAGCTGGATCTGCCCGACCGGTCACCATGGTGGGTGACTGTAAATGGATGCTCCCAGAGTCTCGCTTGTTGCCCTCAGTGGCAAATTGGCTCCTTCCCAGCAGTTGCCATAGTCAAACGCAGCAGCTGGAGCTCCGGCAAGCTGGTGCCTGGGTTCTCCTGGCCTGGTAGCAGAGCTGCCAGGCATTCCCCCACATGCCTCTGGGGAGCATCTTCCAGGGACAGCATCCTTGTTCTCGGCCCTTGCCTGCTCTGCCCATGAAAGGAGGTCTCTAGCTGGGCGCTGGGATGGAGCTGGGAGGGTTGGTGATGGCCTGTTGGAAGGCAGGAGTGGACAGAGGGGAACCCATCTCTCTGCTGTCCCTGCTGAGCTCGTGGGCAACCCCAGCCTCTCTGAATCCTCCGTTGAGCACAGGGTGATGCATCCGGCTTTAGGGCGGCCCCAGGGCCTGCTGAAACTCCAGCTAAGGCAGCAGTGCTGCAAGAAGGAGGCCCTGCAGCTCTGCAGAGCTCTCTGCTCTAGCAGAGTTGGGGGGGACACGACTGTCTCACGTGCTTGAAATCTAGGCAGATATAGATGACATGGATTTCGTCCATAGGGTATGGGGAAGGAGAGGGGGCAGGTACATGCTATTTAATTTCTTTTTGCTCCCTCCTGCACCTTCTTGGAAGCTGCCTTTCCTCTTCCAGCCCACCTATCCCCCTTGACACAGAAATCACACAGCCTCCAGTGCAGCGCTCGGAACAGGCAGTGCTGGGAGGCCCAGGACTATGATTCAGAGCTGAGTCAGCTGCTGGTTGTCAGCAGTTGGAACCCAGAGGGCCTGATTTTCAGCCTGCCATCCATTGTTCAGGCTGAATTTTGTGCTGGCCAGGAATGGTCTCGTGTGTGCGGGCAGAGCCACACACAGGTTATTTCAAGCAGGTATCCCAGTGGGAAGACACAGGGCTGGTGAGCCGGGAAGCAGAGGCACGAGCAGAGCAGGGTGGCAGTGTGGAGAAGAGTACGTGCTGTGCCCTGCAGAAGTCAGGGTTTCTGCCCATCCCTGAACACGTTCTCCTCTCTGCCCCTCATAGGAAAGCCTGGTCATTGACAGGCCCCGGGTGCGGAAGCAAACCAAACACTACAACTCCTTTGAAGAGGATGAGCTAATGGAGTTCTCTGAGCTGGACAGTGACTCGGATGAGCGACCCACACGCTCACGACGCTTCAATGAGAAGACACGGCGGTACCTGCGGGCCGAGTGCTTCCGTGTGGAGAAGAACCTGCTCATATTTGGGTGAGTCTCCCAGAGAGCACGGCCACAGCCTCCAGCTGCCCCAGCACGCACATGGGCCACTGGCTGCCCCAGCCTCTTCCTGGCCGTCCTGCTTGCAGTGTCCTGTCCTTCCAGCTGTGATGTCCCTGGTGGGACTTGGGCTCTAAGTGAACATTTGGGATGGAAGGAGAGTTAGGGAGGCAGTCAGCACTTCCAGAGTCTGATCCTGCCTCTGCCCTGTCCAGTCCTGGGCAAAACTCTCCCTCTCTCTGCTCCCGTAATGTGGAGGCAGAACACCCCTATGCAGGGGAGCTGTCAGGGCTGTGCCCCTGAGTGAGCTCCTGGAGAGAGGTGCTGGCGAGGTCTGTAGTTGCACAGGAATGTTTACTCTGTGTTACTGCTCTTCCAGCTGGGGACGCTGGAAAGATATCCTGACCCATGGGCGGTTCAAGTGGCACCTGAATGAGAAGGACATGGAGATGATTTGTCGGGCCTTGCTGGTCTATTGCGTCAAACACTACAAGGGGGATGAGAAGATAAAAAGTTTTATCTGGGATCTCATCACGCCAACGAAGGATGGTCAGAACCAAGCTCTGCAGAATCACTCAGGTATTGCGTGTTCTCTCTGCCATTACACCTGTACCCGTCAGCACTGTGCCAGCCTGCAGAACCGCGGCTGCAGAATTCAAAGCAGAGCTGTCTAAAGCAGCCAACAAGCAGTTGTGCTCGAGCACCGCAACACTTTCTGCACAGAGAAAGTGGCTGCCATGGGACTGACCTTCACACTGACCCTCAGAGCCAGTGGCACGGTGGCGGAGGCTGTTTTCCAGTGCCGTGGCTGGTGCAGAGAGAACTTTCTGATGGGAGCAGAGCTCCCATCCTACTCTCAAGTGGGCACTGCTAAGTTTTCTCTGGCCTGTGAACACTGTCAGGGTTCCCCTGCACGGGGAGACACAAGGCAGTGAGCTTGTTGGGCACTGGTGAACATTGGGTGTGATAGGTGTGAGGGTGCTTACTGTACTCAGAGTGTAGATGTGTCTGGCTCTTCCTGAGGGCATTGTAGGATGTGGCATGGATTGCTGTGCTGGGCCCATGCCTGTGCCTAACACCAGCAGCTGAGACCACCAGGCAGAAGTGGCTGCTGGTGCAGTCTGTGCAGCCGTCCCACTCCAGGTCGCCAGCTTGTGTCTCCTCTCGTGGTTCTTGTCCCAGCCATACTGGTCTGCAGCCCTGCCCTGATGGGTTAAGGTGCAGTGTTGGTTTGTCCCAAGACCCCTGCCATGCAGAGTCCTCCCTAGGTGATGCTGTCTTCTCTCACTCCATCTAGCAGGACCCTTTATCTCAGGTTTGGCCTTGCCCTGACTGTTCAGGGGACTTGTACGCTTATTGTCCAGTGTGTCCCTGCCGAGGCAGTGGGGCACTGCAGATTTGCTCCCCTGCCTGCATGCATCGTCTGCTCTCTGCAGGCGTCCCTTGGGGCTGGAGCAGCACAGCAAATAGAGCCCACCATGCAAACTGCTGTGCAGCTGCATGGCTGTTATTTTAAATGATATGAAGACTGAGCCGGTGCTGGCTCCTTGGATCAGCTGGAGGGTTGTGGCCTGGGACACGTGGTCACTGCCCATCCTGTGTCAGAGGATTCTGCACTGCCGTAGCAGCACAGTGTCTGCATTGCTGCAGCCCCAAGAAGAACTTGGGGATACTGGTGGACGAAAAGCTGGACATGAGCTGGCCGTGTGCACTGGCAGCCCAGAAAGCCAACCGTATCCTGGGCTGTATCCAGAGAAGTGTGGCCAGCAGGGCG